CATCCTGGTGCACAAACCACTGATTTTTCAGTGGGGCACTGGGGAAGCTGTCACATTGCTGCACTACATACAGCTGCTCTTTGCTTGCTGTTGAGCTCAGGTTTGAGCTGATGGCTGTTGGATTGCTAGAAAGATTGGAATTTGTGCAAGTCAGGTGCAGACAGGAACAACTCCCAGTGCAGCATTATTTGTGTCTCCAGTGCTGGAGGACTGAAGGCAGGGTCATGGCATTGATTGGAAAGCTGATCACGTAAAACTGAGCTCCTCTGAGACTCAGAATTCACTTTTGGGTTCAGGTGCTTGCATTGAATGCCCAGGGGTTTCAGTCAGGTGCCCTACTGAGAGCTACTTGTGTCACAATGACAGCAGCACTCAGGAGTGGTGCAGGCAGGATAGCTGAAGTGGAGCATCAGGGATTCTCAGGGTAAGAGGAGAAAGGCCTGACTGGAGGCTAGAGGATGATTCCCAAAGGGGATCTCAGACCAGTTTAGGAGAAGAAGGGAGAAATGCAATCTTGTCCTTTGCTCAGGAGGTGTTTTAGCTGCTAAACCTTTCTTCTACCAAGTTACCAAAGCAGATTTTAAGGTCTCCTGTATTTGTTCCATGTTTATGTGATTTGACTTCCCAGCATTGTTTCTGGTGTCAGTCAGCTGAAATGAGAAGAGATTCCAGAACCACTGGGAATGCTGGACATCAAATAACTTCAGTCAAAATGCATCTCTCATCATTGTATGACAGAAAAAAATCTCCAGTGACAGGAGTGTGACAAATGATCACTGGGATCTCTGTTACAGCTTTTGCAAACTGCTGGATGCATTTCTTATTGGTGCCTTGCAATCTCCCTGCCAGGGCAGTGCTGCAGCACAGCTTCTGAGATTTACTGTTCCTACGTGCTCCTCTGATGATGCTTGGATGTGTATTCATTCTTTAAATGAATAGCACCATCAAGAAAGGTATTGGTAAGAGGAGTAAAAGGCAGAAGGAGGCTTGGTTCATTTGAAATGCAGAAACTTTAATAAGAACTTGAAGCTTGCTTTCATCAATATGGGATTTGTTAAACTCTTATGTGAAAAAAAAAAGAAACAGATGTGTACTTTTTTGGATGTAGGTGATAAACTGAAACATTTCCAAATTCCTTTCTACCTTCAAACAAGAGATCCATTATGTCCTAAGAATAACTGTTGTACGACTATTTTCCTGCTTGAGAACAGCACCATTATTCCATGAAGCTGAAAAATACAAGAAGGAAATAAAACCCCAACAGGAAATTGAATTTGCACCTTATTTAGTGCACAGTAACAAAGTAGATCATTAGAATTTTCTTAATGAATAGCTTTCACTTCTGCAGACTGAGAGCCCAGATTCACAGACCCTCCTTGTATGTTTTTTTTTTCTTCAGTGCTGAAACAATTTTTACTTAACATCAACATGGAGTTCAACTCTCCCTGACAATAAGGTTATGGAATTCCTAAATAATGCTCAGTAGGATCAAATCCTGCTTTCATTCTCTTTGAAAAACTCTGATCTCTTCATTTTTATCACCATTAAAGCTTGAAAGTGACTCACCTTAAGAATGGTCCAGGTCCCTGGATCCACAGGCAGCTGGATTGCTCTTGACCAGCCCAGATTTCCATACCAGACCCTGTAGCTTTGGGAGCTGACAGCAGCTCTGGCAGTATCTCCAACCTTTTTGTGCTCCAAGGATGCAAAATAGGAGCTCCAGAGAGTAGTTGAAGACAGAAAAAGCTAGTGGGTGGGTGTTTTCCATACAGTGGGAGGTAGAACTATATTCCAGCTTATTCCATTCACAAAAGAGGCAGGATGGTTTGTTTGGAATATGAAATTCTTTGATATACAGACTCTGAGAGGAAGGCTGAGTTCCTCCAAGAGCTTTTGAAGATAATGTTTTCTTCTTTCATTTAAAGAAAAAGGCTGGCTTTTTTTTTTTTTTTTTTTTTTTTGTCTCTATGCTTGTTGTACCTTAGGGAACAGAAGTGCTCCCCAGTGTCTCCTGTTTCAGAAAGACGATTTTGGTCTTGTAAAACAGATTTCCTTCCATCATACTGAGCAGGAAGGATCTTGGGGAAATATTTTGCTTCTATAGAACTATTTCTGTGTGATGGATGTTTACAGAATATCTCTTGCTTTTTGCCTTGAAACATGATTTGTGCATCACTATTGGCTCCACAAAGTAATTCTTTCAAAGTCATTTTCCCCATCGTATAAGAAAAAAAATAGTTTAATGTTTACAGTTAACTGCCGTCATTTAGGTATGAATTTTTCTTTGATGACATGATATGTGTACCACATCAGTTGTGTAGATCACATCATCAGAATGAGCTGTACATATGTAGAGTTCACAGCTGATTTCTCTTCATTGCCTCTGCTGCTTGAGGCATGAACAGTGGTGGGCATATGGTCTTTCTTTTTAATAAAAAACAAATGCAATTTGTCCTTTCTTTTTTGTGGTTTTCTGTAATGGTCATAAATATGTGTGCTAAGGCAATATGTGTCAGCTTGAGGGGATGGATACATTGGCAGACACAGGACTTCTGCACAGTTGCAAAAATCAGCAAAAAAGAAGAAAAAAAAGCTGCTGAAATCCCTTCCCTCTTACACACCACACTGTACATAGAGTGTGGGTACAGCCATGTTTATCCTTTCTGATTTGATCTCTGACTCAAAGTGAAAGCAGCCGGCTGGAATAGCATTTTTCCAGCCATGGCTGTTAACAGTCTGGGTGACCCTTGTTTTTCCCATGTAGCTTAAAGCTGTGATTAGTGATAGGAACACATGTGCTAAATTGACTGCAAAAATCCCTTGTAATGTGGGGTTGCCAGGGCTTGTTTCTAATTCTTGCAGATTGGTGTGTGCTTCCTGCTGTGTGGATGCCAGAGACGATGAATCTGCTGGGGGCTCACATCGTGAACACTTCTGCTTGGGCCCGAGTTCATGGCTTGTCAGTGTGGGAGAATTTAACTCACACATTCTGGGTTATTTGCAGAATGAGTGAGAGATTGGTAGAAACAAGACTTCATAAGGAAAAGGGCAGTAGAAGGAAATGCTTTTTGACAGTAGCTACTGCTGTCTGTAAAAGACTTTTGAAGTATTTAGCCCCCATTTTCATTGAATCCCTGTGGCCATGCCTGCAAAGAGGGTAGAGCCTAATAACTGTGAGTGCATGAACGCTTTCCTTCCATGTTTGTAGGAGTTTTTGCAAACAATGATCTGCCACCTCTTTATGATGCTGAAGCTGGGTTTTCAGAAGAAGCTAGAACAGAAGTGACATTGAAAGTTACTTTTGATCATCCCAGCTTATTAGAGCCTTGCCTAGGCAGGTAAAGGGGGCTGCAGGGACCAAATGAGCTCTTCTAAAAGTGACTCTGGTAGAACTGGGGATCATAGCAAAGAGCCAGAGAGTTCACACATGCAGCTCCTGAGGCACACCCAGCTGCACACTGAGCACCTTCAGCTTGAGGCTGAAAAATAAATATACTGGGATGTTAAAGCTACTAGGTAAATTGCAAACTACAACTTAAATAATCACACAGACACATGAGTACTCCATAGCACTTCATGAGATTTAGCAGCTTCTAAAGTATCTTTCAAATATTAAAGCAGAATTCTCAATTTTGACATGATTTAATGGTAAGGATCTGCACAAAGTAACTCAGAGAAGCAAACCTATTGTAAATAGATTTTCTACTGGACCTCCAGTGGAAAATTGTGGTGTAGAGGTTACCTGAACATTCTACCTAACAGGATATTTTATTGTTAATTTTAAAATAATATTTTAAACAAAATGGAGATCAGTATAAAAAAAAGAAGGACTGAAAGTGTTTTTTTTTCTGGAGGTTTACCTAAAAAAAACAGCTTGGAACCTTTTGCAGCATTTCAACAGAGCCTTAACAGTAGTTCTTTGTAATTCTTTTCAGTCACTGATAATTGAGTTTTGGCTGCTTGTGGATTTAATGCCACCATGAAATGTAATTTGTTTGCACATGGAATATTATCACAGTCTATGCAGAAATGTGAAACCAGAAAAATTCTGGTACTGATAGTGCTTTCCTTCTAAGCTGCATTTTAGTACTGTTTATTGTTGTTCTATTAATTTTTGCTACAGTAGCAGTCATTAGACCTCCAGGACTGGGCAACAGAGAAAGGAAATTTGCAATCCCTGCCCCAGATGCCTTGCAATTTTAACTTTCAAGGCAGGCAGCTAGTAATATACTAGCCCATTATTACAACACTGAGAATAAATGTTGGGTACAGTATTGTGCTTGGGACTTGTGGCAGAAAGAGGAATTGAACCCAGTCCTCCTGATAATCTTTCTGTATTTCATATTTTAATTTTTCAAGGACTGTGTAACTGCAAGGACTTATTATACTGCTTATTTACTTTTCCTTAATACTCAGAATCTCTGATGTTGAATATTTCTGATATTTGATCTGAACATAATTTGACATTATGAGGGGGGATGAGATGGCACTCCTTGCAGAGTTGTTAGCATGCTAGACTGCTGTGAAGAGTGGTTTCTCTTACTGAATTACACAGATACAGCAATATACAGAGGAGCAGGAGGAGTGCCAGAAACCCAAGTGCCTGGGAGGAGCTGGGTATAAATTTTTGGTGATACTCAGGGGAACACTGAATAGGTAGTTTCAAATTCTTTGCTGAATCCAAGCTAAAGGCACAGTGTGAAATTCAATCTCCCATGGCACTTTCACTTCATGGGGTTTGGCTCTTAGAGGTAGGATTGCTTTCTGTCTCTGTGTTGACCAGAAATGCCAATGTAGGACTCTGAATATTTTCTCAAAGCAAAACAGGCACCTGGTTGTGATGTGTTCTGGTTTGAGTGAATAGGCATTTTACAGTGGAAAACCTGCCAAGTCACAGAAATCCTTGACTGGCTCTTCACCCTTTTACTGATACAATTGAGCAGCTAACATCCTTACCAGTGATATTTTTCTAATCTGTCTGGTTTGTTTTTTTCTTCCAGTGTGTGGCTGTGACCTGGCACAAGGAGGCTTTTTTATTAAGAATGGAGAATATCTGTGCACCTTGGACTACCAGCGCATGTACGGCACCCGCTGCAATGGCTGCGGCGAGTTCGTGGAAGGAGAAGTAGTGACAGCCCTGGGGAAAACTTACCACCCAAGCTGCTTTGCCTGTACTGTCTGCAAGTAAGTCATCCCTTCAAACAACATGGCAGGAACCCAGTTAAAGGAAAACAGAAGCAAAGGCGTCGCCATCAGACACGAGTCTCAAGACAGATTTCTCTTGAGAATACATTTATTTTGTTATAAAAGATCTGCTGCAGATCTGACTTGAAAAGTCTTGAAAATGACACTCATTTATATGGGGAGCATAGCTTTTGTATGACATGTTCTCAGAAAGTTGCTCTTATTTCTGAAAGAATTAAGTGTCAGGCTTACACACTGAGATAATGACCTGAGCTCAGGTGGGCAGCCCAGCTTGGTGGGAGAAAAGAAGTGAAGCAAAATTCTGGATCCTACCTTTGAGCTCTGAGGACAGTCCAACAATCACATAAGAGCATGTGGCTTTGGGACTACTGGGATTCACCCTCTTCCCAAATACTCTTTCTTGTCCCCAGTGAGAGAACCAGTCTTCAGTTCAGAGCAAGTAATAAGGAGTTAGCTAAGGCTCTGTGGATCAGAGAAAAGTGGCATTTTAAACTCCAGTCTCTGATAAGTAACTGAAGTACTTTGTCCTTTAGCCTGGTACATTTTTCAAGCCCTTTCCTATTGAAAGAATGTTGATTGTTTTCTATTTTAAATAGGGTGTGAGTTTCCTGCATTTTGGTAAGCATATAATGTATATGTTGCAGTTTTATTTCCCAGGGACAGTGTGAAACATGACATCAATTTTCTGCGCATTGACTTGCATCAATCTTTTTATATTGAATGAACAAAAGATAAGTATTTGAAATAGATTAATGAAATTCAGTGTTGCTGCTGATTTATTTTTGGCCTACTTAGAGATGGTAGTGGAAAGGAAACGATGCCTGAAACATTCTGTTTTGTTGAAATCAGCAGTAAATTTGCTCAGCAGTTTTGGAGTGAGGTGAGGGTCTGCAGTTAATACTCCTCATTAAAGATTTGGAGTTATTAAATGTTGCTCATCCTTTGATTTAGGCACCAAATAAGAGTTAACAGCAATGTCAACTTCTGCCTAACACACATTCTTAACATTTATGAGTGACTAGCTCCACATTCCTTCACCAACCTCAAGAACAGTTCTGATTCTTTGAGTTTTCTTCTGTATCATTTGCTGTCCACAACATCACACTGAGACCTTCATAAATGTAACTGTTGTGTCTTAGCAGATTTCACTGTCTCTGCTATTTAGATAAAATACATTTGATAATCTTTTTAAAAGGAAAATACAAGGCAAGTCTAACCTCTGCTCTGCTTGCATCCATGGATTGGATTTCTTCCAGTGCCTGGCTTTGCCAAGGCCACATTGCAGAAACTATTTGGCCTGAGTTTCTGTAAAATATTGATTGCGCTGGAGGAAGGCAGAAAACTCAAGGCATGGGGAACAGAGGAAAATCTCTGGCATAACCTTTGCAAAAATACATTTTTCTCTTGAACTTTCCAGGCGTCCATTTCCACCAGGAGATCGAGTTACCTTTAATGGAAGGGACTGTCTCTGTCAGATGTGTGCTCAGCCGATGTCCTCCAGCCCAAGAGAACTGTCTGCCTCAAGCAGTAAGTTGCCATCTCATTTCTGAAGCTGCTCACTTTTCCAGGCTCATCAACATTTGATTTAAATTAATATAATGCAATCTTTTGGTGTTTTTATTTTTATTCACATTTAGACAAGTGAACTATGTTGAGAATTTTTGTGTCGTTTTTTTTTTTTCTCTTCATTAAGTGCCTGTTACTACAGATGGGAAAAGGCACTTAGACATTTCAGTGTGAAAAAATGATTTTCCCTAGTGACTGGATTTTTAAAAAGTTTTTTTTTTAATTTTGTTCTGATAGGCACCAGAAGAGTACCTAAGTGATAAATCCTGAGGTTTCAAAGTCGATAGAGTCTATTTCTTTAATGTATGATTGTGCAAGTTTAAGTATTCAATAGAGGATGAAGTCAGAGGAAATTAATTTTCTTCTCCTATTTAAGAATTCAATTAAATTATCCTTTAAAAGGAATATCTCCAGGATTATGCTTCCAGTAGACTGATGCCACAATGATACTGTGATCAGAACCTCAGGAAACCATTATAAAAGACACAGGAAGCAAATTAAAGGGAAAGATAGAGAATAAAGAAAGTTTGGGAGGGAAGTTAAGTTGGCTTGCTGTTGGGTTTTAACACTTTTAAAAGGTAATTTGTAAATTACTGATATTCATCTCTGCCTCTGGTAGTTAAGTTTTTTTCATCTTCGGGGGTTTCTTTCTCTGCTGGATTGTATTCAGCATTCACCCAGTGTAGTTTTGTAAATCAAAATGGCTACAGCTTTCCTTGTGACACTGGGTGGTTTTCCTTCAGGGAGGAGCTGTGTATTTTCTCCTGGTACTTGGCTTTGAGATCCTGGGATTATAAAGTGCTGTGGAAAGACAAAGATGGATAATGTTTGTGCTCACTGGATGAGTCAAGTGAATCTCAGGATATCTGATTTGCCTGAGAACATGTAATCAAACCCTTAGACAAAAGGAAAATGAGAGACATTTTTTGTTATCGTGCCTCTCTGTCTGGGAAGTAATGCTTTTCCTCTATAATTGTAGATTTGCAGCTGAAAATGCACAGACGTAATCAGTTGAGGAAGAATTCAGGAACCTGCAGAACGGCTTAAAAGACTTAAAAAGCAACATAAAAATTTATGAGGGACTTCAGGCACCCAGAGAATCCTTCTGAGACAGAGGAATGATGTGGAAATTGATATCTAGGGGGCATAATTGGCAAGGAACTGCAAGGCACAGGGACCTTGGACAGTACTGATATTCTTTTTCTGAACATGCCAGAGCATAGAAGAATCTGGATCTGGCTCTCCAAAGGTGGCACACCTGTCCAGCAGTGTGGCACTTGCCACATGCCTGACTCCAGGTGCCAGAATGCCCCTAGAAAATGACAGGTTGACCTTGTCTGATACTTAGCAAGCCAGAGAGCTGGACACTCACTTCCCCACAGCCATGCTCTCTACTGGAATTGCTTCTTGCTTCCACACTGAAGCCATAGGTAGCAAGGATTATAAAACAACATTTTGTGTGACTTGTGATGAGATTTATTGGGGTTTTTAATCATAATTGTGTCCTGCTGACAAACTGGTTTGCCAGTACACACAGCAAGAGAGCTCCTGCTCTCAACACCTTAGAGTGCACTACTTTGAAATCTGTAGGCACCTGCCGTGGTGCATCTTGTTCTTTTATGGACAAAGACTTGCAGAAATGTGTAGTATAGAGCTTCAGGTCATTTTAGTGCAAAACTCTGCAAAACAGACAAATAAGAATGAGAACAGCTTATGTTATATGTTCAGAACTAATCAATAAAAGAAAAATCAATGAAGCATCCTCTGCCTTCAAAGATATGCCAGTTGCTGCTTTAACTTTTTGCAAAATTTGACCTAGATACTTTTCTGTATCTTGCTGGCACCAAAGAGTAAATTTTAATTAGTGTCAAGTATTTCACATAACTTCCAGGTTTCTCCTGCTGGCTAATACATGCCAGACATTTGAAAAATTTATTTTTCAAATACTTTGCCATTTTTGAAAGGACTTTTTAAAATACAAGTTCTTTTAGGGAAGACTCAGATTCACACTAGGCATCTATTTTATATCCTATATTGCTGTCAGCTTCCTGTGATTACTTTTAAGTAGGGGAGACTTTCCTTAAAACAAGGAAAGTTTGATGGAATACAGTAGACTGCAAATATACCAGGTTTGATTGCTTTGTGTAATGTGAAAGGAATCCTTCTATCCTAGAATGTCTGCATTAATGCTGATATGACATTTTCCAGTGCCTGTTGCTTCACACAAATGAAAACGTACTGACAGCTTTGCTTGGATGATTTCAAGGAAAATCAAATGTGTTTGAATACAGGGGTTAACATCTTGAATAACATGAACCTGAATATTGTTACACTTATTGTAGTGCACAGCAGTGAAAATCAGATGGGAAAATACTAAATAATTAATTTTCTTTTTTTGTTTAGTATTAGTGTGGTCTATAGTACTCATTTACCTTATTTATATTAGTAATATATTTCTTTCACTGCACATGTGTTACCTGAAATTATAGCTATTTTCTTGAAGAACCAATTCAGTGACTCTATTTTTATTCTAAATTTTTAAAATTCAAATGCGGTAGAGTAATCATAATTTATAATTTAATCAATCCTATTCCTTGGCTGGTGCTGGAAATACACAGTGCACTAACTTTGGGATCTTCATTCATTCAGCAGGAAATCTAATAACAAATACCTGTAAATAACTTTGCAGACAAATGAAATGAGTGGTGTTTGGTTTTGTTATTGTTTTATTTCATATGACAGCTTGATAAATGGCAAGTGAAGTATAAAGCAAAGTGACTGGGACAGATGTAGAGCAGCACAGAAACAGGGGACAAGTAGATAACACTGACTAGAAGTGAGGTGTTGATGCCTTGGATAGTTCAGGGTTTTCAAGATTCTGTCAAAGACATGAAGTTTTTTTTTTTTATTTGGGGCCCAATAAAGGAGTAATGCAATAATGTATCCCAGTAATTGCTACTTATATTTTAAGCAGTGCCAGGTTTTGTATTTGGTGTCATGATTGCCTGGTTTGTACTGTCTTTAGTTCTTTCTACTCTCTGTTGTGTTCTGGCTGCATGGTAACACACTGTGTTTTAGGTCCACATTGCAGAGACAAGAAAACAGAAAACCAGTTGTGCAGGCACCTGTTACTTCTAAATTTTGGGCAAAACTGCAACTGTGCAGTTGCATAGTTACATAAAATGCCTTCCATTAGAGCATTTTATCAATGAATTCTCCCCAAGGCAGCTGGTAAATGAACTGATGCAGACTTTAAAAAGAAAAGTGTCCAGTCTAGTCAGACCTTCATTTTTAAAAAGTACCACACTGGCTTCCATTTTTTCCTGGATGCACAAGAGGCATTGTGAGAAGTCCAGCTGAGAGCAGAGCAGCTGTACAGGGATCCCCTCACCTGGGACAGGCACAGGAGGTGGTGCCAGCAGGCTGTGGAGCTCGAGCCAGGACTTTTCTGGCCCTGGCATCATCTTCGGAATCCAGAAGAGACTATACATGTCTTTGAATATAGTTTAGATACTCTTCCTCAAGCTGAGGTTCTTTTCCTTGGGAAATTCACTATTCCCACAATAAGGCACCTCAGTAATAAGAATGCTGTGTCATTTTCTGCCTGTCTCTGTTGGTTCCTTATCTGGGTGCTGGTCTGGAAGTTTTAGTTGTTTCTGATTATCTTTTTGGTGGAAGGTTGGATAATTTTAGTGATGTACATGAACTAGCTAGGAAATTGCATTTCAAGTGACAAGCATGTTTTCTGGGACAAACCTCCCTATCCAAAAGAAACTGAAGCATTACAATCACCTAACAGGAGATTTCATTTTGAAAAATTCATCTTTCAAAATGGTGACAAAGACTTTCACCATTGTTTCTTTTCAGTGAAATAGAAACTTGTGTCCTATAAATGCCAGTAGTGAGACTGTTTGGAAAGGAGCAGAGGGAAGATATTTCAACTTCCCTTTCTTTGTAAGAGTCTCTCCTGTGAGTACAGAGCATTAGAGTACAGCCAAGACGTGGACCAGAGTTTTCAAACTGACCCCCAGAGCGTTCCATGAATAATCCTGGGTGCAGCTGTTCCCCAAGCAGCCGGCGTCCACGTGGAGATTTCACATCGTGTTTTGTGTGCTTGTCCTTGTCTGCTCTGCACATTATGTTCTGGCTCCAAGAATGCCAGCTCTTTGGGACAAATGCTGTCATGCCTATCAGTACAGAGTCTACAGGGTTGGATTTGGCCTCACAACTGGGGATCTTTGCTCTATTGTGATATAAATAATAAGCTTAATGAACTTGTGGGAAAAGGTATCTTTGTTAATTATTCAATAGCCTTATCTCTTTGAAAAATATGCAGGCAGTGAAGTTCCCAGTAAATAAATGAAACTTCCAACAAAGTTCTGGTAATACTGAAGTAAAGCAGAGCCAACATACCATACCTACTGAAACAGGAAGAGGTGAGAAGTTAAAAATAGGAATCATCTTTTGCCTCACTGCCCAGACAGTGGCAGGAAAGTGAGCTTGTATTTGAAACACAGAGCATCAAAATGGATAAGCAAATTTACTTTGCAGTCCTTTTTAAAAGGCTCTTTAATTCTTAATGTAGTCCTATAGTCAGGACATAACTGTCCTTTCATTAGATAAAAATGTAAGTCATTGCTGCCAAAAGTAATGTCAGAGCTGATGTATAAGTATCACAAACTTCTCCATTAGAAATTAGCTGAAATGCTTTTAGAAATTAGCTAATTAGCTTTTAATCATAGTTCTTGAGAAAAGTCTGCAGCTTGGATTTATAACTGGTCACATTTAACTAATTTTTCATTATTTTGTTCTTTATAATTTTTTTCCTGGAGCTCTCTGAAAACTCCTTCAATTCCACAGAGAATTTAAAAGTGCAGGGGAAAGTTGGCTGACTGTTGCTAAGCAAGATATCTGCAGTGATTTTAAAAGGTGTTGAGCAACATCCAACACATGATTTTGAG